AGAGCTGCCCTGTGCTACCAACATTCCTCGCCAGTGAGCACCTACAACCAGGCCAATAATCCTGATGATTAACAAAATCTAGCACTAGAGGGAGGCTGAACACATGTTCTGCTCTCTTTGGCCTTTTCAGCTTCTCCAGTCATTAAAAGGCAGGTGATTTAAAGCAAACCCAGCACCAGCAGGCAGAGCCCAGCCTCTGAACAGGAGATGAGCTATTTAAGACAGCAACCTCCAGTGGCAAAATTCATGCTCTTTCCTCCCCAGCTATTTGCAAAGATGTGCACCCAAAATTCAGAAATAAATTAAAAAAAAACAAAACAAAAAAACCCAAAACCAAACAAAAACAATTCCTGTGTCCCGGCTGTTCCTTCAGCCAGTGAGTCAGAGCCCACAGAGGCACCACCGCCACCGCTCGCAGGGAGCGGAGTCAGACAGCCAAACACCTGGCAGCCTCTTCCCTAACAAGGATGAGGCTCCCTTCTCTTGCATCTATCAACACATTCCCACCTTCTCCCAGGCATGAGCACCAAGGAGAAGTGAGACAGGTCTCCTCGGAACAGCCTCGCGGAGGAAGGCACGCACAGAATACGCTTCAGCTTTTCTCCTTCCAAAATTCCTTGGCAATAGGAATTTGAGCCCTTTGGCTGATTTTCTGCACATCACAACAGGATGATACGACCAGTGAGTTCAGTAGGTCTGAATGTGGTAACAGCTCCCTGCCCACGTAGCTGCAGCCCCGCAGCCTCTCCAAGCATAAATTATATATTAAAATTCTTTATATTGCACTTCATGCAACTATTCAAAGTCTGATTGTTTCTTCAGTTTAACCCCCAACCTAAAGCCACTTCTTGACATCTGCTTTGATATATCCCAAATTGGTCCTATGCCCAGGCACTGATGGTGTTTAGTCATTAATTTGCAGTTACTACAGCAATGAGGCTCTGGGATGCACAAGGCAGAATTGCTTTAGGACACAGGAGATCTTGGTCTTATTTTTAGCCTGCCACTGGTCAGCCTATGTGAAGCACTTTCCCTGCTCCAGCTTCCTTATCAGGAAGAAAGTGGTATTTCTTTTGTAAACTGTTTTGTGGCCTGTCAATAACAAACACACTGATAAGAGCTGGGTCTAGCTGGGAAAGAGGTGCCGTCCCAGCTCAACACAATCCTCTCCTTCCCATGCTGTAGTGACATCTCAGACCCCAAAAGAAAATCAGACCCATCTGCAGATGCAGCACGTGCAGTAGAGATCTGTAGGTGGATGTTTTCCCAAGGTGGCCCTTGGCAAGTTGGCTGCTGAGGGTCACATCTGCTTTGAGCCACCCAGATGAACATGAAATGCTGGGCTCTGACCCTCCCCTTCGAAGAGAACTGGTCATTTCCAAGCCAGTAGCACCCATGAGTCCTGAGATGGCCTTCACGAGGTTGGGCATGAGACTGGGACTGGCTTTTCACACAGCTGTGCACTTCTCATCCCTGCACAGCCCTGCCTGGCAAGGAAGGAAGGAATTGCTAGAGCCATGAGTGAGGGTCCCTCTCTGTGAGCAAACAGGGTACTTGAGAGGTGGCTGATGAGAGTTTTTCACTTTTGCTTTCTCTGGCCTGGGCTGATGCCTGTTTTGAAACTAGAAGGCAAAAAAATAATAAAAAACCGCCTACCTCCCTCCCAGATCTATCTATTTCCCTTTGACAAACAGTGATTTCATTTTTCTTCCCGTCCAGAACTTTTTTTTTGTTTCTCTTTTAAACTGAGCCCAGGCCAACGTGGCAGAAGGCTCTTTGCTCATGTCCTTATTTGTCAAACACACCATCACCACACCCTCACCACCATTCTGGGAACAAGTCCTTGGCTTCCCCGGCTGCAGCTGAAGGGGAACTTCCCAACACAACTGTCCCCCAGCCCAAACACACTCTTTTAAAAATAAATATTGCCTTTTTTCTCCCTTTATTTTTTTCCTAAAAAAAAAAAAGGCATTCCAGTTAGTAAGAAAAAAGTTTAAATTTCCTTCCCCTTTCCTCCCCACAGCCCTGCTGTGAATCCGACTATGATGGAACGAGCTGGGAAAACAGAAATTACAAGAAAATGCCAGATCTATCACGAAGGTATTTCATGACCCAGCCCTCCTCTAATTTCCATCAGAGCATAAGTCAGATACTAAAGTACCTTTTTGGATTGGATCCTAAGTGGCCAGTTCCACTGTCCAAATAGCGATCCAGAGATAAACAGGTCTGTGAAACCTGGGTATTATTATTTTAACTGCTGCTCTTAAGCTACAGCTTAAACTGCAATAAGCTGTGCAGCCTTCAGCCTTCTGGTAACATTAACACACAAACTGATAATAAACTAAATATTTATCCTGCTGTCCTCATCAACTTAACACCTAGTATAAAAAGCTTTACCTGGAGCCCCACAGCATACATACTTCATAAACTGTCATCAGCACTGTGCCATCTAGCCAGAAATTTCTGACATAAAACTGCTGATTTGATGGAACAGATGAATTTCAATAGATCTGGAGGGCTCTCACCACGTCCATAGGGGCCTAACTATCCCAGGCAGCAGCCTCAGGTCTGGTCAATGCTTAGGAGCTAGGTCTGCTGCTCCAGACATCACATTTAGCAATGGGGAAACTGAGGCATGGAAATTAAATGATCTGGCATTGGAGAGCAAAATCAGCTTCTTGGAGCCAAATACAACACATGTTCCTGAGATCCCTGATTTCAGACAACCATGTCCTCACAGCAGAAGGAGCACAGTCACTATTTGTTCTGCTCCTTTAGCACAAGAACGGCTGTCCAGAGTTGAGAAAATGACTGTGTTTGATGCACAAAGCATTGGACAGCTTTCTCCAGCACCACCTGCCCTTTTCCTCCTCTCTTGGGCTTTATATCTTGCTTCAGCATGACTTTTGCTGCTCCTGAAAGATAAGAATCTGAACTTGCAACACAAAATCCTGCTGGCTCCTGACTTTAGCCCAGACTTCTGCCTGCTCCTGAGCTCCTACAGAAAATGGAAGGGAAAAGGAAGGGGAGTAGGTGACCAGAGAGCACAGATGAAAGACGGGGAGCTGTGTTTGCTACATAAGAGTACATTGGGGTGGTGACAGGCAGGACTGCTCAGGTACAACTGGTAGGCTTACATCATGCAAAGGAATCCTGCTCTGACCAAGCTCTTGCTAAAACCCAACACTAAACACAGCTCCAGTCCCAGTTCCCCAAAGCCAGAGAGAAAAAAGGGTGTGACAAATAGCAATTCCATGAGTTCAGAGGGAAGAGTTGTCCTGCTGAGTGGTTCTACCAAGGGGCACATCCCCGTGACAGCCCCGAGTGACTCAGGGACAGTCTTGGAACCATGGCAGGAGCAATCTCCTTTCAACAAACACACGAGGTCCTCTCCTTGGGTGACCTGGGAAGGGGGAAGCCTGATCCTGAGGAATCCTGTGAGGTGCCATGACCCCTTCCTGGCACCCAGGCTCCCGTGCAGGCACCGTGCTGGCAGTGCCCTGCCTTTGCCAGGAGCCTGTTGCTCCACAGCTTCCCAGGGCGCTCTGGAAGCTCCCCTGCTCCCACCGGGGCCACTCTTCTCAGAGAGATAAAAGACAGAACAACACTTGCTGGGGAATTACTTCATTCCCCCAAGGCTGGGAAAAGCCATGCTCTGCACTTGGCAATGTCCCTGATGGCTGCAGCCTTTCCTGGCCAGGGAGAACACAATCCCTGTTAACCCCTTCCTGCTCAAAGGCTGCTTCCAACACTGAGCAGGAAAGCCTTTGTCACAGTATCTGAACATCTTGCCATGGGCAAGAGATCCCAGTAAGCCCATGAGCGAGAGGAATGTTTTCTTTTTCCCAAGGCACAAAGCAGACAAATTGACTCTACAGTTGATGAGAGGGTCAGGAACTAAGTCAGGTCCTTTGAATCCTGTTTAATGTATGTCCGCTGGCCTACTCTCCATGTTCAAACCCACCAAGGGAAACAGGACTGCCATAATCCTCCAGGGCCATCAAGAGTAGCCCCATGTCTGTGGATGTTGTGGTTACAGGAGTCTCAACACCCTCAAACCTAGGCCATGCTCTCTTTGCTCTCACAATTTCTCACAGAAGGCTCTTCCAGATCTTTGGAGCCCCAGTGCTCAGGAAATTTCTAAACACTAACATGGAGGTACTTCTGGCAAGCTCAGCCTCTCCCGTTCCTGCACCAACACCCACACAGAGCAGAAATACAGGCTTATTCCCCAAGTATATTTCAAATTTGCAACCAGACCCATCCTCAGCCTTCCTTTTTCTCAGCTAACAAGACAAACTCTTCTGGTCTCCACTGCAAAGATCAGCTCCTCACCTTGATCACCTTGTCCCAGAAGTCTGAATGCATTTCTCCAGAACGTGCCTAAGCAAACACAAACCTGGCACTCCAGGCAAACCTGCAATACCTGCACAAAAGTGTTCATATCTTTCAAAGGTGTTGAAGGTCTGTCCCTATTCACTTTGGACATCCTGTCATCACCTGATGCATCTTAGAAGTTGCATTTTCATTCAGGTGGCCAATCTAGAAGATCCAAGACAGCAAAAATAGGGTGAAAAGGGTCTCAATTACATCACTGGAGCCTGGGCCAGGGCTTATTTGCTTCACTTAATTTTAGGCATCTAAACAAAGCACTTTTAGGATCAGATTACTGCCATAAAGTCTCTCCACAGTCCATGGAAGGAGATGGCCATTCCAGAAAACAATTCATTCTGGGAAGGTTTCGCTCCCATCCACCATCACAACAGCATAAGGCAATTAGTCTTCTAATTCAAGCCGGATGGGAAAAATCCTTTAATAGCCCAGCAAGTTTTGAATGGAAATATTCCCTGCTTGGGAAACATAGCTTGCTAAAGCTTACTTGGTTATTCCTGACCCATGATTTTTAACCAGAACCTTGCCCCCTCATTTTATTATCATTCATTCATTTCCACTGTTTATGGATTGGTTCTGCACAAATGACAAAATTCTTGTCTTCTTACCTGCACATTGTAAGTAACATCATCCAGAGGGGGTGGGGGGGGAAAGGCACCTTGTGATGATGTGATGTTCCCAAGGTCATCCACAGGAGGGGGCGGAGGAGGAAGGAAGTCCCCTAGGAGAGAGAATGGGAGAATTTAGACTCAGCAGCATTTCCCCACATCATGACATGGATGATCAGGAGGAACGCTGCAACAATTCCAGCTCTGCCCACTGGTTTGTGGCACAGGACATAAGACATTATTTAACCATTAAATGCTCAGCTTCACCCCTCACTGCTTCCAGAGCTGGCTACACAGCTCAGTAACAGTGGCAGATGGCTCAGGGCTGCTCAGATTCCACACCAAAAGGTGATGTGCCACAAGGCCTGAAGGCACCAGCAAGCAGCTCCACAGATCCAAGTTGCATCTGAAACCTGCCACAGGCAATGACATAATTTGCACTAATGAACACCCTGTGTCTAACCTTGCAATGGATCCCATCCGATCCACTTCCCTCGTGTGCTAAGCTATGCCCGCTCTTGTTGATCCCTATAAAGACAGCATTAGGTACTGTCCAAAAGCAGGGATTTCCTGCTGCAGAAGACACATGGAGGGCTGGAGCTGGAGTGCAGAATCTCCTGCATCCTTGCTGCTGGCAGGCAGATGCTCCTCTTCCTATAGGGACTTTATAGTTTCATGTGAAGAACTGCTGGGAAGATCACATTTGCTTCTCAGTAACAACAGCCACGTGATGGGCCAGGTGCAAGCACACATGAATCCACCTCTCTTAACTCTGGACTTTTAAAAAAGAGGGCTGATGTACAACATTTCTAGAATTCAACTTGCTCATGTTCATCTTCCAGAAGTGCTGATGGGAAGACAAAGCACCACATACTGGCTGTGAAGCCATCCAGCATAGAGATAGGAGCAGAGAGTTCTCCCTGAGAATTTCACAGGATGTGGGACCACAAAGGCAAAAGAAAACAAGGACAGAGCAGCACAGGCTGCAGGGAGCAGGACATCAGGCTCTGAAAGCACCTCCTAATGGTGGAAAAAGGGCATTTGCCATTAGCACTGGATTTCTCTCCGGGGAAAGCAGCTGCCTGCAATTTGAACCACTTTGGCATGTTTTTATTTCTTCTTATGAAGATTGATGCTGCAACTAGAACTGTTTGCTGTTGGCTCTTGTGTGTGTAGCATCTGGGATGGAAGGTTTCAGATTAATAAAAGTGTGATATTTCACATATATAGGAACTGCTGCTTTTGGAAGGAAATATGAGCTCCCTACCTGACCCTCCAGAGCTCCATGCAGCATCACACCAGAGGCCCTCAGCACCACCCCTAAATGCCAAGGAGCAGCCTCCAAATTGCTCAGGAAGGTGCTGAGCCAAACCCCTGTGATCTGCAGCCATCTGGGCCACCTGTGCCCAGGTGTAAAGCCCTAGGCTCAGCCCAGCCCAGGCACAGGCACCAGCTGGGCAGCACTGCCAGCACAGCACTTTCATGCTCTCTGCCATGGGAAACAGATGAGTCTGCAGCCCTCAAAAGTTTTCTCTTCTATGTCAAATCACTCTCTGAAAGACACAAACTTCCCCTAGGACTTTCAGAGATATTCTTTACCAGCAAAGTAATTTCTTCCCATTTTCCCAAAAATGAACATGGATGGGACTCAAAAAACCCTTTCTGAATCCCTAAGAAAGTATCATCCTAAATACAGATACTCAAAGACAGCTCAAAAACAACACACTGAAAACTAATTTAAGATGACCATGTTGCTCCAATACATAAAATCCCATGAAACCCACTGGCTCATGCTATTATAGAGTTCAAGATTGATTTTTTAAAAACTTATGTCCAATAATATCTGCAGTATCCTCCTCATTGCCCTATAATTAATCCAATCTTTTTATTTCAAATCATGTGAAATACAATATGAAATAAAAAGAAAAGTAGAGAGATTTTGAAATTAATATCAAAGGGGTTAGTTCTAAAAAAATGCTGGGATATTTGAGTGCTTCTTAAACTTTTCTCCTTTGCTCTGAAAATGACCCTCCAACCAGCCAACATGATTTTACAAACAAATTCGACTCCAGCGGACACGGACTTCTCAAGATTATGCTTCAGATGATGTTTCTCAGTTAGTCCTGACTCCAATGCCAAAGACTGCTGTCCCTGCACAGCACATTAGTCAGAAACTCTTGCTTTATTACAACCCTTCAAAACACCTAAGGAAAATCAAGGTAGAGAATGTGCTAGAGGCGATGAGACAGGGAAAGGGGCAGGTTTTGTGCATAAAGAGAAGTCTGCATCTAACAATGACCGTTAGAACAAACATAAACAAAAGATCATTTTCACCCCTTTGGAAGACCCACTCCTGAAAGAAATTTAAAAAAAAACATTGGCAAGATTTTTCAGAAAAGGAGCAAAGGACAGAAAAAGAGCTCTCTCCTAGAGTTTGGAAGGAAACACTTCTTTGCAGTTTGAGACAGCTGGCTCTACCACATCCCAGCCCAGCTCTCCTGACTCCATCCTGTGTTAGATAAGCTGCTGGCTCCACTCTCCCCACAAGTGGGAAGGTTTTTAGACTGGGAAGCAGAGAGCAGATGCCTGATGAACTGGGGGGACCTTGCAGATGTTTGGCCTTTTCCTGGTCCTCTGCGAACAGCTGGACCTTTCTCTTCCACAGCTTTAGTTATTTATTCTGCCACTGCGTCTTCCTCTTTCCCACACACAGCCACAGGACCCGGTGCTGTTCCCATTGCACTCACGGGAGAGTATTCCCTCGGATGCAGAAGGGAAAGCTGTCACTGCATTATTATTATTGGCATTGCTGGAAGCCTCCCTCTGGCAGAGAGAGAAGAATGCAAAGACAAAAATCTGTGTCCTCAGCAGCATATGATTCTGGATGATGTGGGGAATAAACAATTCTAGGTTTGAGGGAGTAAAAGAGTAAAAGAACATGAAAGCCAGCTTACACTCCTTTTAAGCACAGTGTCCCTACAGTGCACCTTTGGGACCTTCTCTCACCCCCGGAGCTTTGTAAGTCAGATTTCACTTACTGAGAGCTGGGCAAGCTGTGGGAGGAGGCAGGAAAGTCCATGTCCAGGCAGAGCATGTCACTGCCACCCACTGCTGACCACCTTCAGTGTCACAGAGCGAGGTGGGAGTCATGTGGGCAAGGGACCATCCAGGTCCGCACAGATGCACCAGCAGCCACAGCAGAATGGGGCTCTGGGGTTACCAGTTAACCATGGGCTGCTGGAGGACACATCCCACCCTCAGCACTCCCCTTCTCCTGACTGATTTAACTAGGTTGTGCCTCTGTGAATAAGGGATAAGGTGGGCAAAAGGCTCATTAGTATTGATTATTGTTCAGCACAAAGACCAGCATTTTGGTTGACTTTCACCTGACAGCAACCTGAACACTTGGATGTATTTCAGGTTATGAGAGTGACTGCACTGAGTTCTGTCAACAGAGGTACCAAGGCATCTGCAGAAAGCAATTCATGCTTCAAGGCAGGTGAGGAGACTTGCCTTCCAATGGCAAGTCTCTCCATGGAGGCAGCCTGGGCCAGGCATGTTTGGAGGTAGGAAATCACACCAAGACACAGCCTGCCTTCAGCTCTTACAATGAGAAATCTCCACCTGTTACCATATGTTTAAGAAGAGAAAATAAATAGTCCTTTGTTGCACCAGCTACTCATTCCCCCTTTGTACAGCTGTGAGCACCATGAGTCAGCCTACAAAGGGGCTGTGCAGTGAGACACACGCCCAGCTCGGTTATTTCAGATGCGGCGGCGCAACGTGCCGTGAAACCACAGCTCTGAGCTCTTACCTCAGCACCCGTGCAGCTCCTGCGCCGGAGCATCACCCGCTGCAGCCACCAGGGACAGGGCTGCCAGCCCGGTAATGGCCCACCCCGAGCAGCAGAACACTTGAGTAATGTAAATACAAGTAATTAAGCAGAAATTAGGTGAGTCCATCGTGGTTATGTTGGGAAGCAATAGCAGAGCCAAAGGCAGAAGTGATGCCTCCCAGGCCCCAGCCTGGCTGCTGGCTTCGATCAATCTGTGCCATTGTAGATGCACTTGCAAGGTTTTAATCCACCCCAAAATCTCCCCTCTTATGCTTTCCAAGGAGCTTTAAACATTTCACTATTACACTTCTAAATATACAAATATAAAATTGTTCAAAGACAACAGACACCTACATCGGCACAAACCTGTCAACGTGAATAGAAACTCACAAAATTTTTGCCACTGGCTGCCTGATGCCTTTTGGGTACAAGCTGAGGAAAACATCCTGTTTCATGCAGCAAACACCATTCTCACTTACAGGCTAACCTTTAAAATTTTAAGTGCACTTCACTTTTTGCTGGGATCAGGCTCACGTCTCAAGTCTTTGTTTCCAGGAGATATATTTGCCAGCCAGCAAATGAATTGTAGCACAGTAATTGCCTCCCCCCTTGACAGACACAGTTGTTTAGACATGAAGATTTGCAGCTTTGAAACTTCTAGACTTGAAGAAGAGCTCACATCTTCAGTAAATGAGACTCTTTGGGGGAAAAACACAGAAAAATATGAAAAAGCAAAACACCGTATCTTTCACAGAAACAATAAGTTAATTAAACCTATTAAACAAAAAAAAACTGGGCTTACACTGTTCTTCCCAGATCTCTGGCTGACATCTGAGGACTATATGTCAGATGCTGATTTCAATTTTCTCCTTACGAGCAAAAATAACCCTTTCTGATTGTCATCTTGATAATTTCTGATTCTGAAGCTGGTTTAGAATCAGTTTGAATCACCTGAGAAACACAGCTCGGCCCTGACTCAGAGACCAGACTAAGGACAGTGATGGAGAGAACCCCCATTGATGTGTTTCCGTTCTGATCCAGATTCCATTTGGCAAAATACTGAGCAGACAGGTACTGCTTGGTCAAGTATTTACCTTCTGCTGCAGAAAACCAAAGCTTTCTACATTGAAACAAGTAAGATTTACATCTAAACCCTAATTCATTGAGCACTAGGCTAAAATCCTGTTGATGGAGGCTACCATGAACCTGTATTCCACAGTGACCACTGCAGGAGCCTGGAGAATATCACAGTATTACTATGTGGTCTGGGAAACCTCC